GGTTTGAATTCAGTATATGCCCCTATTCCAGAGATCTCCTGTCTCCTTGACCACCGTCACTGGGGCAGGAAGTAAGGAGACTTCTCCTCAACAGGGAAACCAAATTGAAAATAGACCCTGACATGTTGGGGTTGACTTAGTGAAGGACTTGATGCTATTCACTTAATACATAGGGTGAACTTGTTTTTACCTAATGATGTGGGAGGGGGAAAAAACAGGATTTTCGCTAGCACATAATTGGTTTATTAAAGTCATCATAGTTTTATCTTATTTATTAATCTCAGTAAACATTCACTTTACTAAGTGAATAGTCTGTATTCCTTTTCAAACCAACCCCACGCTATTTAAAATAAAAAAAGTTTTCAGCTGAATCAACCGCTGCCTCATATCTCTTAGAGACGCCAGCAATGTCTTAACCAATAGGTAGAGCCCTGACATTGTACCCTTGTAGTGTTTTCTCCACTTTTTCATTGATTCTACTATACAGTGCAAAAGAAGGAATATAAGCTATAGCTGTGTTAAGGGTGGATTTTAGGTTCATCTTGTAGCAATCCTTATGGTGCCAATAATTCTAAAATATTAGTAAGCACTTACAAAGAAAACTTAAGTATAGCAGCAGTGACAAATTTATAACCTCAAAACGTATAATGATTCCACAATGAACATGTTATAGACTTGGGTGAGTCAAACTGAGCATAACATGAGAAAAGAAAAACCGCATGGTAAAATAATCAGCAGATTCACAGGTATAAGCTGTTGAATTTATATGCAAATGTAAACTTCTGCTGTATAAATTGGATGACATTAAAATGACTAGTCAACCCAAAAGTGATATTTAAGGGATAGCTGGGGTATCTTGGTCTGAGTCAAACCCTCCCTTCTTATATGTTTACAATACTGCAACAGCAAGATTTCCCAGCAATAATTCCCGACTATGTTTCTTCCCACCTGGAACCTTTGGGTTTTCCTGTCCACTGTTGTGTGTTCCAGCACCCCCTGTTAGATTCTTTATAGTATAACATATATAAAAAATCATACAAGTATGTAATGGCCACAGCAAGTGTACAAACTCAGAAACCTCAAGTAGACAGGTCTTACCAATAGACTGACCAAGAGACAGATGTAACTTCCAGGTGGTTCAACTCAGTTTTGGGTGGACAACCCTGTACAGTGCTTGTTAAGTGAGATTACAAGTAAAAGTGTAAAAACAGACCCATTTTGGTTTTATACATGACCTACTCTATTTAATCTAATACTCTCTATATATATATATATATTGAAACACAACAAACCTTCTTGATCTTGGTGTTTCGAAGCGTGAAGATACGGACAGTATAATAGGCCAAAACTTGAACGCTTTTCTGTGTGATCAAAAAAGTACCATATTCTTCGCTGCCATCACTTGGCCAATACTGGTCACACTTTCTCTGGAAAAAACAAAAATATTCCTTGTTTCAGCCAAGGTTAACCACTTGAGTACCAACTTGTATATGCCCCCTTCATTATCAGGCCATTTTTAAATTGTCAGTACTATGATAGTTTGATGGACAAATACCTATGTATGAAACACTGTACCCAAATTAATTTGATATATTTTTTTGAGACAGATAGAACTTTATTTAACTACTGTTTAATAAGTAAATTTTTATTTTTTACTATATAAAAGGAATACCAAACATTAAAAAAAACCCTGATGTTCTCATTGCATACTGCATTTCTTGAGGCCTTAAAAAGCCCCCGAAATTGTTTTGCTTAGGATATAGTGTATACAGGGCATCAGTTAGAGTGCAGCCGTCAAGACAGTGCAGTGCCCCCTTTTGTTGATGGTCAGTGGTAAGCGTCCCTTTAAATGTTGGCGGTCAAGGGTGTGTGCACACTTGAATATTGGTGATCAGTGGTGAGTGCGCCAAAACTGTTGGTGGTCAGTGGTGTTTTTTCTCATAATTATGATGGTCAGTGTGCCCATTTTAGTTGTTCCCTTGCTGCTTTGTGTACCCTCTTGCTGCTCAGTGTGCCTCAATTTATTTGGTGGTCAGTGAAAACAGCCTAATCTACAATGTTACAGATCGTCGGAAAGGCAATTGGCATAAGAGGCAGAAGGGAAGGGTTCTAGAAATTCTTTGCTCGAGGTTGGACTCGATGGACTTGTGTCTTTTTTCAGCCTGACTAACTATGTAACTATGTATACATGATTGGCGATCACATGGCACAGAGCAACCCTCATTGGCTTTGTGCATTTTGTCTGTGACCTACACTGTCTAATGATAGCTCAATCACAGAAATTCAAAGGGTGCACTTGCCGCCCTTTTATGGTTTCTGCAGCGCTGTTTATTAATGGCTCTTTAGAAAATGGAGTCGATTGTTTTTTTTACAATGGTGCAGTACTAAGGTGCTTCACAGATAATTAAAATTAGATGGATACAGTACCCCGCCCACCCCAATAGTAGTAAAAAAAAAAAGCAAAAAAAAATGAATTAGGGAAAAATAAACAATGTCATACTATTGATATACAGTATACTTTCTAAATTGATTAATTATATATATTGTCACTAAGATTGGGTTATGAGCCTCACCCATGACTTGATGCTCATTCATACTATAACACTTTAAAGTGGGGAGGTGCAACAATAAGCCGTAGAGCTGTAGCTCTCTGCAGTGGTGTCACTTTTTGTCTGTTTAGTGTAGCATTGATGTGTAAATCACACCACCAGCTGAGCAGAATAAACACATAGGGGAATTTATCAAAACTGGAGCAGACAAAATCTGGAGCAGCTGTGCATGGCAACCAATGAGCCTCTTTCTTTCATTTTCAAATCTTAACTGCACAAACTGAAGAGAGAAGCTGATTGGTTGCCCTAGGCAACTGCTCCAGATTTAGTTTGCTTTAGTTTAGATTCATTCCCCCCCTAGTATTTTTGGAGGTAATAGTCTGCCTATGTATTTTAATTGTGTGCTTAGTTGCTTAACTGAAGTTTCACTTTCATTTCGTTGTCATTTGAAAAGTACTTACTAAATTCAACTGAATACTTACTCTTCCCTTTTCAACCAGGTTGGTAATCATTACAATAACTTCTACACTGTGCTCCCATATCATTCTCCAGAAATCTTCTGCAGTTGACTTTAGTGGTCCTTGAGCAGCAATGTACGCTTTAGGCTTGTTGTAGCCCTAAAAGTAACAAAAAACAATAATTATTTGTGTTGTGAAATATTTACACAGCCACTCATTAAAGTGGGCCTAGCATCACATATACTGTATTTTTCATATTAGCTGCACGCATGCTATGTAATGTGTAAGTGTTACATTTACTGGTATGTACCACCTCTTACAGGATCACAGTACCCTTCAGACAATACCTTAATCTGCTTTTCTCTCCTACATTTTGATCAATGAGGGCAAGGAGAGTGAGGAAATGCTTCCTCCTGCCTGCAGCACTCTAATCACTGGGGAAGATGAGATAACGTAGGAAATGCTTCCTCCTGCCTGCAGCACTCTAACCACTGGAGGAGAGGAGATGTAGGAAATGCTTTTTCCTGCCTGTATCACTCTAATCACTGGAGGAGAGGAGATGTAGGAAATGCTTCCTCCTGCCTGTAGCACTCTAATCACTGGGGAAGAAGAGATAACGTAGGAAATGCTTCCTTCTGCCTGCAACACTCTAACCACTGGAGGAGAGGAGATGTAGGAAATCCTTCCTCCTGCCTGCAGCACTCTAATCACTGGAGGAGAGGAGATGTAGGAAATGCTTCCTCCTGCCTGCATAACTTTAATCACTGGAGGAGGAGAGAGTGAGGAAGTGATTCCTCCTGCCTGTAGCACTCTAATTCCTGCGGTAGAGGAGATGTAGGAAATGCTTCCTCCTGCCTTCCTCACTCTAATCACTGGAGGAGGGGAGACTTATATACATTTTATTGTTAAATGTTTTAAGATTTTTAATGTGTATATTAAAGGCTGTTTTTGTAGGGGTTAGGGAGATATATCTATATGCAATTGGTGTTATTTCAGCTGTAGATATGCACTTGTATGCGGTGCCGATATACTCCCTTATCTATATTCTCATTGTGATATGCATAGAGTTGCTCTATGTATTATACAGCACACAATGGATTCTATATGAGTTATATGTATTTACATTGTTATGATGTATGTCCTTTTAAATCATTAGATTAGCTGATGCCACCTGTGTTATGCAGTATATTTTGCCCTCCCTTTGATAAGCTCCTATCTCTACAGCTAAGCCTGTTATTGGGTGAAATGTGTCGGTGAGGGGCTGACATTGGGTGGGATTCTTGTGGCATGGACAAGCCTCAATACAGTTTTAACTTTCCACAGCATTTCTGGGTGTGTGGCCAGATTTCCTTTATCTTTGATGGTCCTTACAAGTTGTTTCACATAATTAAGGTTCATCCTGGATTTTTATGATGATACCAAATTCACCTCTCTGCATCCCTGCATATATTTTAGGAGTGGCATGTGATCCTCATCATGAGGGATGTATTGCTGCAGAATGTCAGTTGAGGATTAAATTACCCCAGAGATGATACTGATGACGTCAGTGATGTCATCAGGTTTTTCATGTTAATTGCAATGCAGGAATCTTTTTCCTGCCATGTATGCACTAATATGGAACACATATTGAATAATGATCATATTATGTCATGTGAAGTTTAGGAGCTCAGTCTAACAACTTCTGGCCATAGCTCTAGAACCAGCATAGTACAGCCGTGATAATCTCCTTTCAATGCACATACTGGAATGGCCATTCAGTATACCGATTGGGAGTATTTCTCTACCGCACGACTACGTGCAGTCTGTTTGTAGAAATCAATGACAGGCTGGTTAAAGCCATGTATATATGCAAACCTCATTGTTTATATGCATATCAGTACTTTTACACTGCCTTGAATGCAGAGGGTATGAGTTCACGGCAATGCGTAAGTAAACAATACATATCGGTGCAGTACACTGATCAATTAAAAATAGAATATATCTGACTGTAAGCAGAAAACAATGTACTTACATCAACAAAATTTGCATTTATGTAATCAGTTATCTTTCCTTCTTTCTCTCCCATTTGTGAAAGCCTGACTCTGCTGTGATCATCTGTAGAGAAAAAAAAACATATTTTAAAGTATAAAGCAAATTCATTATTTTGTAATGAAAAACGCTTTAAATAACAGTTTTTTCAAATCTATTAATTGTGCCCATGGACTGACAAAGCCTTCCTGTTGGGGAAGGGACCATTGAAGTTTATAGGTTGCTCCTAAGATCTGAAATGAGGATGGAAGGTGCAGTAAGTGTAGCCTATGGGCATTGTAAAGCACTATCTCCCAACTGACAACACCTCTGTGGGGATGGATATAGTATTGTGATGACATCACTGCCTAGATGAATGGTGAGACAGATTGGAAGGCCACCAATGCTTCAAATTTGTAGCAGAGATTTGAAGCAGCTACTAGTTTATCTTCTTTTTTTTCCACTGGTGATTTGCAGTTAGCTGAGCAGTTGTTGCTGTAGCTGGATTCAATGCTTATCTAAGCAGCTTGAAATCTCTGGTGTGCCAGGTTCATCAGCAGCCTCTTTGGATGATATTAGTTACTACTAAAACTGGCGGTTCTGTAGCCAGCTGAAAGTACTGTATAACCCAAAATAGCTTAGTGACTGAGCTACAAATTACTTTACATTTTCTTATCAACAAATCCATTAAGAAGTGTGATTCCGTAGTTGCAACATACAAAATTGCACGTGTAACATGATCATTAGCAGAAAAGGATTAACCCCTTCATGACTGAGGCCTTTTTTTCATTTTTTGTACCCATGTTATATTCCACATTTTAGGCCTGAAAATTACTTAAAACCCCCCAACATTATATATTTTCTGAATGCCAAGACCCTATAGAATAAAATGGTGGTAGTTGCAAATTTTTATGTTGCGCAATATTAGCGCAACTCCTTATTAAACCCCAATATTTAGTGACAAATTTAATTAAATGCCCCAAAACACAACAAAATACCCATTTTTTTAATGAAATATAAAAGATGAGGTTACAACGAGTAAAACGATACCCAACATGCCCAGGTTACAAATTGCGTGCATCCGTAAAACGGCGAAAAACCCCAGTACCCCAAAAAGTCCATAGAAGACGCTTTAAAAGCCCCCACAGGTCATCAATTTAGAGATACCCCAAAATACTGGCCCTAGAATTATTGCTCTCACTCCGGCGTGCGCGGCGATACCCAACATGTGTAGCGCGTTCGTCGTTTTCATGCGTAGGCGCACCCGACGCGTGTTTACGTGGCGACGCGCGTGCTCGCGGGGGCGGGGTACTTTTAAAATTTTTTTTTATTATTATTAGATTTATTTTATTTCATTTTAATTTTAAAAACTTTTTTTTTTTTTTTTTTTACTTTACTTTGACTGCTATCACATGGGGGGGCTTGCAAGCCCCCCCATGTAATAGCAGATGGTGGTGACAGGTCCTCTTTAAGGTGATGCTGGGGGTCCAAAAGACCCTCAGTGTCACCTTTACACTGGAAATAAGCTATTGAAGTGCAGATCGCACTTCAATAGCTTATAGCTGGGCTGCAGGAGCCCAGAACTGACAGCCCAGGGACCGGAAGTGATGCAATCTGCATCGCTCCCGGTCCCATAGAACGGGGAGGGGATCGATGAACGGAAGTTCGTCGACCTCCTCCCCAGCTCCCCGCGGACACAAAGATCGCCGGTCCCGGGCCCGTAGGAGGGGCAACGGAGCCCGGGAAGCACGGCGGGGGTGTCCGGCGTGGGGGGGGGGTCGGCCCCTTCTTCGGGACGCAGAAGCGATCTGGCGACAGGTAAGTCGCCAGGATTGCTTCTGTTGTAAAGCCGACAGTCGGCTCTACAAGTTTAAACAGAGTCCCGGCGGCAAAAGTCGCCAGGAGTCTGTTTAAACAGCCCCGATGCTGGCGACGTCGTCAGTCACAAAGGGGTTAAGAAATAAAAATGGATGCAGTGGAATTAATTAGTATAAATATTAGTCTATAACAGACAATGTAAAAGTGCCAAAACTATTATATTATAATGTAAATGCTTCTCAATGACTGCGATATTAATATTGGACTCTAAAATCTTGTTGGCACTAGGCTGATGTGAATAACTTCATTTTGTTTTATGTGCTGCATAATATTTTGTTCCTTCTACAAGGGGTGCTGATTGCACAGGATCACTAGGTCAGAGGTTCACTGGAAAAATAGAAGGGGGTGTTATTGACTGGGAAGAATCCTTCGAGTTTTTATGTATTCTAAAGAGACGTTCTTGATCTAACAGAATGTATTTATTCAGTCTCCTTAATCTGTCTGACACAAAGTTGTGGGTCGTGATGTTCTGGAAATGTAGGGCTATAAGGAGTGATCTGACCAGGGAGTGTAAGGTATCTTCACTTTGAAAATATGATGTAGTTGTTGGGAATTAACCTTATTTACCCAAGTATGGAATAGAATGTGTAGCCAAGAATGGAGGAACTTAGTGTATCTTTTCATTCCATGCTATCATCTACACTCTTGGTGGTATCATATTTAAAATAGTCTCTGATTAGATACTGGCCAATACAGAGATTTGTTACGTGTCATAAACAGGCCAATTTGGGCGAAGGTAACAGACTTCACCCTTTTAATAGATAAGGGTCTCACTAATGTTGTCTTTGTAGTTTACTGATATCCAGTATTAAAAACCTATGTATTTAGTGATACACATTTAACAATCAATATATACTTACAGGCTACAATGTTTATATATCGGTTCTTATTTTTGTTTTCCGGGTGGTTTGAATTGTCAGCCGTTATTCCCAAATCAGCAGTGCAGTTTTGAACTTCCTGCAAATTAACAGAGATTGAACATTTACACATCTAAATGTAATCCGATAGCAATAATCTTCTATGTGCTCTGAAACATTGCATCAGTTTGAAATAATGTATACTCTATTCCAAGAAATGACAGTGAATTTCTCTTACCTGATAAAATGCTTTAAGAGTCTAATGAGGGAATGAATGAAAAAAATGACATAAATCTCACAATGCAAACAAAAGAGGAATGGTTTACAAAACTTCAAATGAAACATAACTGGTTAGAATTAATGCAAAATTTCAGGGGAGAATAAGCAGCGGCCATACACATGCACTGGTTGGTTTGGGAACGACCTGACCATTTGAAGACTTTATATCTATACTGATCTATGTATTTATTTATTTGTTTATATTGGTATTTATATAGCGCTGGGAATTTACACAGCGATTTACATAGTGTTAATGGGTTTAATTGTTAAGGTAAGAAACAAAATACAAACAAAAGCAGTCCGTGCTAACCAGAGAAAACCTCTGAAATATAGTGAGCCAAAATCTGACTGGTTCATATATGTCATTGAGCTTTGCACTTTATCTTTGCTCTATGCAATGCTTTTTGAAAAGCCCCAGTGATACTCTGGGGAGAAGAGGCTGAGTGAATGTTCATTTAAAAATTCACATTGAAAATACTTTTCATAGTTAATATTAGTGAATAAGTTGATGCTGTGTGAACTATGAATACCTAATCATGTGTAGGTGAAACTTAAAAAAAAAATCAGGATTTTTGTTAGCACTTATTAGGTATTATTGGGTAAGTGAACACAGCTTCCCCTTATTTGCTCACATTTGCTTAGCAAATGGAACACACACTTTCCAAAGTGAACATTTACTTTTCTAAGTGAGCAGCTTCTATTCTTTAATCAAACACCACTATCTTGAGAATGTGTTCTGGGTATACAGAAGGCTAAAAAAATGTAATCAATCATGGTCATGGAACAACACGCAGGTCAGGGCTGCTAAGCAACAGCGGTTCTACATTTTTTAATACACAATTCATACTGTATAGAATGGTTGAACCTGGCTCCTTGTACATGTACATGTTTGTCATACCAAACTGCTCCACTCAAAAGACATCCCTTTATGTATGGCCCCTTTTAAATAGAATTCATGAAAAGTTAACAAACTTCAATCATTTTCAGTGAGTTATCATATTGACCCATACAATAAAGATCATGGTTATGTTAAAAAAAGAATAAAAAAATGGAAACATGTATGTACATATGACCAATACAATACATATAAAAGATATTTGACTGCATAGAATTATAATAATTTGACATTGGGTTACCATCTGCCTGCTGGACATTAGGTTTCCTATTTTTACTCTTATAAATGAAAGCTGAACTCCAGAATTGTAGAAAAAAATACTCTTACAGTGCAAAGGTTAAATGCTCATTAAGTCTAGGAGTGTACTACCACACCTTTTTGACACACTAGGATGTGGGCTTTGCCGTCATCATGGACATTGCACAACTGTTGGCCCTGCATTTTACTTGATGATGTCAGTGTGCAACTGCTGGCTGAAGCACCTTAATGAAGAGGCTTTGGGGAACAGGTCACATACATGGAGGGAGCCTACCGGAGTGAGTAATAGGGAAACAATCACGCATTATTCCTCTACCCCTAGAATTTACAAGCAAAATTCCCAGAGTTCAGCTTTAAGTACAATTATGTATTAAATGAGAACTATGGGGACAGGGCTTTTCCCCATAGTTCTCCTTAAGGTAACGGGAGGACACAAACTAGCGTCCTCCGGCCCCCTAAGCTCAGTATACCGCGAGCTACAGCTCGTGGTATACTGAGACGCCGCAGCCGGAGCGGATCCCGACATCGATGTCGAGATCCACCCAGCTGCGTGAGTGACAGCTGGCTCTGCCTATCTAGAGGCAGAGTCAGCTGTACCCGCCCCCTACCCCGTCCGTTCCGCCAGTCAGCGCTGGCGGATCGGAGCGGGGAGGGGGGAATCCATCCCCTCCCCTGTCAAGGCAGAGGGCCGTGACAGGATCGAGAAGTGAGCGAACACCGGCATGTGTTCGCTCACCTCCCGATCTACTGAGCTGACCTGTGACATTCTCATTGTCGCAGGTCGGCTAGAACTATAAGGTGAGTGAAAAGCACTCACCTCATAGTTCTCCTTTAATATTGATACTTACCTTGGAAAGTTCCATCCTAAAACCATAAAACGCTGTACAATTCTCACTGCACTGAGCTAACAAATACCAACAAAATAACATAGAAATACTTTTTAGACCTACAATGACACAGGAAACCTTACCTCAAATTCTTCTGCAAATCCATTGTTCGAATGCAGGTCACGAACATGTCTAGGAAATTGTTTTAAAGGTATTGCTCCAACATCATCTAATTTAAAAATGAAATTAAAAGAAATACCAACATCAATCAACAGATATAGCAGGCAAGCTCTGGAATGTTCATTACTCCTTCTACTAATAAATACAATGGAAATAATTTACCAAATGCAAATTTACAATGTACAATGGAAATGCTACTTTTTGACATTTTAGTATTTAATACATTTAAAAATCAAAACTGAAGCCTACCAAATTATTCCAATAAATGTTATCTAACCATAAAAAATAATGTTAGTCCACATATCAGATAATGCATTTATTCAACTTTCCTGGCTGGAGAAAACGTGTAAATTACTTTTATAGTGTACATTCTGACCAGAATCAATTTGCTCAGAAGGCAGAAAGGGGTACAAATGGTATGAGACTCTCACTGGTCAAAGCCTGGTTGCTATGCAGTATAGTTGCCTAAGCGTCACCATACACGTGACAATCTGACCAAACAATCTCTGTAATGTAATGCGCATGTGCTAGGTTAAACAATATTAGGGTGGAGGATCATAATGGTTATATAAGAAGAGGATTTCAGAACAATGTAATATTTAATGGTATTTGATGTGCTTACAAACATAAATGTAAAGAAATACTATAATGAATCATCTTTAGAAAAAAAGGTTTAAAAAAATTAAGAAACAAAAAAGTTGAAGTGATCCATCCTGCTGATAAGGGCAGAGGGAACAGTCATATTAAATAGAAGTGACTATTATGATTAGATGAATAGACTGCTTTCAGCTACCAAAACTTTTAAAGGGTGATCCCTGTTTGCAATTTTTTTTAAAAGTTACTGAGAAGGAGATATTGATTAAAAACATAGCATTATATTTAATTCCCTCTGCATATAAGTTGCTTAATTTATATTACCTAACGGAGGTACATAAAAAAAGACCCAGCTTCCAGAACATACTATAGTGGTGTAGACTCTATAGATACAGTACAGTGGTATAGAATTATTTCTTCAGCCTTTAATGAAAACCATTAAGTCTTACAGTACTAAACAAATTATACAGATACCAAAGAGATACTTCATCATTCAGATTACATTTTAGTTACATCAGATGTATGTTCTCTATATTCTATTATAGTCCTTGCTAGGTTTGTACCAAGTTTAACGAATATATCTGTGTTCATGTGGGAGGAAGAAGCTATTATGTAAATGGTCAGGAGAATTTCATTTGTTGGCTAGGTATACATACAACATGTTCTTTATATAAAAAAGGAGTTTCTGGGAAATTCTAGATAAATTTTTTGAAAATAATAATAATGGGATTATATTCCTTTCCAACTATAGTGCCCAGTAGGGTTGATTTACAAATAGGCTGTTCATTTTACAAGGGAATTTACACCTTTCAGGAGAAGTTTCCTCTTATCTTGATGAATGCAGTGAAATTTCACGTTGCAAAGAATACCTCTCCTTCAAAGTGCAAATTCCCTTGCAAAATGCAGCCAATTTTTTAGGAAATCAACCCCAATTATCTAACTTACAAACAATATAGGAGAAGGGAAGATATGTACCCTCACCTATTTTGAAGAAAAAGATCAAATGGTTTTATTCTTACACATAGTGGATGCCATCCAAATTGGGTAAAGAATGTTCCACATGGCCAGTCTATTAGGTTTTGGCAAAATTGTAATTCTCTAAAAGTATTATAAGCAGGCAGATATCTTGATTTTTAGAGAACTGGTATAGAGAGGATATTTTAGATGAAGATATAACAAAATTAGCATATCTGGATATATTTGAACTGATTAAATATAAAGATAAGTATAAAGAAAATATGGAAAATTCTAATTTAAAGTTTAAAGTGCATTTATTTTTATTGTTAATTCTTAATAAAGGATGGTAGAAAATATTGTATGGTATATAAGTATTGGCCTATTTTATTAACCCTTTCGCTGCCAAGCCCTCCGGAACATTTTTCAAATCAGCTGGCCAAGCCATTTTTGAATTTTCTGCAATTTTTTCCTATTGATTTGATTTTCAACTGCTAAAATTATGTTGTAATATTTAAATTAATGGTTCTATGGCGCCCTATATAAAAAGGATAAATAGTTGTTCATGAAACATAAAGGCCTTATGTGAAACAGTTAAGGTTCATGAATTGGACAGTAAATGGTCAAATGTGCATAGAACAAGTAGCATGATGGATGAGGTGGATCCTATGCTCCTGATGAAGTTGGAATGATTAAACACATAGAGTTGGATCTACCTTACATAATCATACTGTCCACTTGGATTTGACCTTAGTTGACCCAACACCTGGAGTCTAGTGGAGGGTCAGTATTGTTATAGTGTGTGTTGTCATATGGGCATATGTTTGAATGTGTTTAAATGAGTGCACTCATAGAGTTTTTATTAGATACTAATTTTATATTTCAAAAATAAGAGTGTAAGCTATGAAGTCCTTTTGTTTTGTTTCAGCTTCATATGGCATTTCGGCACATATAATCATCTGTTGATTACTATTTGAGCTACTGTGCACAGGAGGAGGAAATAGATCTGGTGTTAGATAACATACCTATAACTTGGAGGTCAAAAAACTCTGGTAAGTGCTGTTCCCATAGGTGAATTTTCTCATGATGGTGTAGTGTGTCATAATTCTGAGAAAGTAGGTCATTTCACTGCAGTCACTAATTTGTGAAATGTGTATTTGCAGGCATAATTTGGACTTTTATATATTTTGATTCTTCTGTGGATATTTAATGTGGATTAATAATACTTGTGGATACTTTTGACACATTGCATTTTTACATGTTTGTCTGCATGGTTTAGTTAAGCGTTTCCTAATAGTTTATATTGCGTTGCAGAAAATACCCAATCTTGTGCAAGGAAAATTTAAAAAATTATTTTTGCTTGCACATAATTGTATAACTGAATTCTGCACTGATTCACTTCATTCAATAAGTGAGAATTCCCTTTGTGTTGGAATGTACAACATTTTCATGTACGAAAACTGCCAAACAGCTATCTTCAAATCATGACTCTGAGAGGCATGGCAAGGGAGGTAATAGAGATGAGATTCCTTCATCTGGACAAGAGGTCATGCATTGTACCCTGTGGTGTTGATAGGGGTGTATGCGCATTGGGAAGACACCCTCAAGATATCCTGCTTTGCATATGAAGGTGGCTGGATTTTGTCTAAAGATCAAAGGAGAAGGTGTTGACCTAGGCCAAGGAATGACCTGCAATACAATAGTGCCCCCTGCTGGAGGACTACAGTGCATGTGGACAAATATGAAGGACGATGCCGATTGGCCGAAAGACCTATAAGGGACATGCGGAATGATGGCTAAAGGGGTGTCGATGTATGTGTATGAATGGGTCCGGTTTACTATAAAAGTCCATACTCAGCTATATTGCGCTCTCTCTGAGCCCAGCCAAGACATAGAAACCAGAGGACAGACTTGATGCGTAAAGTATTCTTTTGATTGTCGTATTGTACTTTTGTATCTGTTTTTATCTTTTATTATGTTTAGTTATATTTGTGTATAAATAAATAAGACAATTGCTTCTTTTAACCATTGTATCGTTATCATCATTGGAAGCAGAGAATAGCAAGTTAGTTATTTCAGGAAGCCAAGGCAATTTAGATATTACACTTTGCAAAGAGAAAATTTACTTTAGTGAAAGCAGTGAAGTTATTCTGACTTCAATCATCTATTCACATACAAGAAACTGTTTTTTTTTTTTTAAATCTGCGGATTATTGGGTATTATTTGCAAAGTAAACTTTCACTTTCTACCTTATTCACTAGGATAAGTGAAAATTCCCTTTGAAATGTGAAAATGCTCTAATTCTTTAGTAAATAAACCCTACTGATTGTGTTGTGTTGACCATATTATATGTTGGCTTAACAGGAGGCAGACCTCCCAATATTCTGTTTTCACATTTTCATTGGTAAAAGCTACACAAGTTTTTCTACTCAAAGTGAAGTTGAATCTGCACTCACTATTTAAAGGAGAACCTCTGTGGTAAATGTTTTTCCCCATAGTTATCTTAAGGGTCACGGGAGGACATATACTAGTGTCCTCCCGTGACCCAAAGCTCAGTATATGGCGAGCTACAGCTCATGGTATACTGAGATCCACCCAGCTGCGTAATTGACAGCTGGCTCTGCCTAGCTAGAGCCAGCCGCCCCCTCAGCCGTCCGTTCCGCCAGTCAGTGCTGGAGGATCGGAGTGGGGAAATGCCTGCAGGGAGCCGTGAGTGACAGTCATGGCTCTCTGCAGGGACATGATCGAGAAGTGAGCAACGGTATGTGTTCACTCACTTCCCGATCTGTTGAGCTGGCGTGTGACAGTTTCATTGTCACACATGGGCTTGAACAATGAGGATGAGTGATTTTCACTCGCCTCATAGTTCTCCTTTAAAAAAAGAGCAGAGACACACATAATTATATAGAGAATGCTGTGGCATAACTGGTTCAAAGCAGTTTTACAACAATGTCTGGACTGATTCCAGAGGCAGAACTGGCAATATGAATCCCTGCCAACCTGATGCTAGAAACAGAAAATCAGTTAGAGTACAGAAGCTTGATCTGTAGTGATTGTTTTCATACTCTACTATTACTATACTATTAAACTACTTAAAGACATAAGACAATCTAATCTCAAACAGGTTCCACACATAATTGCTGTCAGACTGCTTTTGGGTGGTAGGTCAATCATTCAGACAGGGCAGAGAAGCTGTTGAGATGCAACATGGCTCACAGAGACCCAAACCACGTACTTTTCATTGAGTTGACTTCATGGAATTGTTTACTGTGAATGATGTAACTCCTAGAAATAAGTTGCTATACCTAACACTAGCAAATGCCTTTTAGAGTTTGAAGTAACTTCATATATGACAGCACAGTCTCTCAGCATGCTGTGATGGAATAGTATAATGTAGAGCTACAGAATACTTAATGTTATCTATGCTTTTTCCTAATGTGTTTTTAATGGCCAAGCTTTAGATCCTCTAATGGTTTCCAGACCATTGCCAATCAAAATAAT